GGTTCCAACCTCCCTATCGTTCAGGGTCTGATGTGCTGGGGAGGTTGATGCTCCATTTGGGGGTTAATTTAGACATCAACAGCACAGGCTTTGAAATAGACCAGTGTTCAAATCTGACCTCTGCCACTGACTAGCTGTGTGACCCTCGGGCAGGTTTCTTAGCCTTTCTGAACCTGTTTCCCCATCTGTAAATTGGGGATGGGGTTTTCACTACCTGAAGCTGTGGTGAATATTAAATGAGATAAGGCAGGCAAAACATTTAGGACAGCTCCTGGCAACACCACTCAGCTCCCACGTGGTCATTAGAACCACGTTCCTCTGAGGAATGCGGGGCTACAGGAGGTGCTTTGGGAAGAGTGAGGTGAAAGGTCAGAGAGAAGGAGAAAAGGAGACTGTAGTTAGTTGGCCTTTCCAAAGCAGCATGAATACCAGATGAAGTCCCAAAGATGGGTACCTTGTTCCAATACCATTTCCAGAAGTGTCTCTGGCCACACCCTCCTGTTGTAATGGGGCAGGCCTCAACAGCTCTTTAAAACTCAGAGGGTTTAAAAGTTAAATGTCTTTGAGGGCAGGAGAAACACACCAAAATAAACACATCTACCCGCTGGGCTTTGAAAGGGAAACTTGGCAGGGGCCCCAGAACTTTCCCCGCCCCAGCCCTCCCTAAACTTCCTCTTGCGGTTTCTCGAGAGTACAACCTGTTCTCTCCCCCCAGCCAGAAGTGTGCCTGGGGCAGGGGCCTGGGGAATGTGAAGGTTCCACAGAACCCACCTACCCACCTACGATGAGGGAAGAAGGGGGTGGTGTGGCAGAGGAACGGCCTGGAAGCCGGCATAGTTCTGAATGCTCACATCCTGCTTACCTGGTACCTCAGTGTGGCCACCCTCTATCCTAGAGTCCCAGCATCAACATCCACCCCTCCAACACACCCCTCTTGCAGAGACAGACAGATGGTGAGGGTGGGTTGACTGCAAGTGGAGAAGACAGCCTCAGTGGTCCCCAGATCTGCGCAAAGGGCTCTTGTGAGAAACCCAGAGTTTCTGAAAAGTAATGCAAAAATGGTTGGAATCCATGGAAACTCTGCCCTGTGGCCTGGTTTCTATAGTGGGCTCTGTCCCAGCCAGCCTGGAGGTACAGGGTCAGACCCATAGATACTGTTTTGGGATGCAGCAGCTGTGGGAAAGGGGTAAGCATCTCACGATTGCTTCACTGCTTCACTCCTTGTGACCGTGTTCCTTACTCAGCTACAAGGGCTGTTCCTCCTGGAATCTAGAATATGAGGGTCTCTGCTATTCTTTTTTTTTTAAATTTTTAAAAATGTTTATTAATATTAGAGAGAAAGGAAGGGAGAGAGAGAAACATCAATGTGCGAGAGAAACAGTGATCAGTTGCCCTCCATACATGCCCCAACTGGCGCTCAAACCTACAATCTATGTTTGTGCCCTGACAGGCAATTGAACCCCCAGCGGAGTATGGGACGACATTCCAACCAAATGAGCCACACTGGCCGGGGCAGTCTCTGCTAGTCTTAAGGATTCCCAACAAAAGAGATGTCTTAGTTTCCCATCTCCTAGATTCTGGCACATTACATCAATGTTGTGTTCTTTCTTGCATCAATTATTGGTCTGTTCCTCTTGATAGGTGAGGCTTAGGAAACACACATACACATACGTGCGTGCTCGCGCAGAGCCATTAAGAGAGGACAGCAGCTCTGTGTAGTCACCCCAACTCTACCTGTATTAGCACACAGCTCAGCTAACAGATTACTCTCCTCTGTATCTCCCAAGATACAGAACCATGGAGTCCCTTTTGGAAACTTCTAAGCCCCTGGCTCAAGCGCATACTCTATGTAGTCAGGCAAGGAGATAGGTTTGCCTAGTGGTTAAATACAGGACCTTCCAAGTCAAGTCACTGGGTTTATTACTACTTTTTTAAAGATTTTCTTCTTTCTTTCCTTCCTTCCTTCCTTCCTTCCTTCCTTCCTTCCTTTCTGAGAGAGGGAAAGGGAAGGAGAAAGAGAGGGAAACATCAATTCACAAGAGAAACATGGAGCAGTTGCTTCCCACACACACCCAGCCAGGGACCTGTGCCCTGACTGGGAATCAAACCAGCAACCCTTTCAGTTCGCAGGCTGGTGCTTAACCCACCGTGCCACATCAGCTAGGGTTCAAGTGACCTGGGTTTAAATCCCAGCTCTGCCATTTATTTCTGGTGTCCTCTTTAGGAAAATCCTCTCCTTTTTGTCTGAGTTTCCTCATTTATAAAATGGAGGTACTCCTAGCACTTTACCTCATTGGACTGTTCGGAGGATTAAATGAGACACTACACCTAAAACATTTAGAAGAGTACCTGACAGAACTACTTAAGCATGAGCTAGTATTCTCAACACTTGAGGGAAGGAAATAGGAAAGAGAAGGTGTTTGGGACCATGGAGGTCATTCATGGTCTCAAGGACTGGGCATCTGGTTGGAATTCTCAGAGATGCTTCTGATTGTAAATTCCATGGGGTAGAAGCTCTGATTTGTTTACCATTATGCCCCCAACTTCTAGCCCATACAGACAGAATATGGCCACAGCAGACAGCTGATGAATGAATTCATAAATTGTTACATCAATCATCTCCCAAAAGAGCCTGAGACTTGAAAGAGCAGAAGAATCGATAGAAATGCAATGAGAGCTGGTCCTCTTCACTCACATCTGGTCTGGAAGAGAATTATGGTGGGGGGACACAGAGCAAGGATTTGTTCAAGGAAATAGTCCTGGAGTCCAGGGTTCAGGAGTGGATACTCCAAGATTGGGCAGACTGTCACATCGCCCCCAGGGGAACCCTCCTAGCTATGCCGAGCTGAGAATTTTTGGGTTTTTGGAGACCAGCCCTTTCTCTGAATTCATCCTGTTCATTATCACCTCTTCTTCATGCTTATATAGGGGGTTAAATCCGGGTTAGAGTTAGGGCAATAGAGTCAGGGTTCAGCACAATCTATGGAATGAATAAATGTCCCCGAAGACTACCCATAACTTCTCTGTCTGGTGATTATTCATCATTCAGAACCCAACTCAAATGCCCTCTTCTCTCTGGCCTTCCCAGCCACCCCAGCTTAATGCCTTATCTCTCTTGTTCATGACCCACACTAGCTGTACATGAATATCATTCCACTCTCGGATCCAATACAGTCCCAGACACAAGTAGGTGCTCAATCAATGTTTGGAAACGAACACACTAATGCTCCCTTAGTAACAGCAAACCAATTTCTTCAGTTATTCCTCTTGTTGACACAGAAGAGACTAAGGCCATCACTTGTGTACTCATCAGACACCAGAGGGATGAACACTGAGGGGCTCCTCCTTCCAGTCCTGTTCTCTGGCTTCCTCCCTGGGCCCTGGCTGGCAGGAGAACCGAAGGCTCCCTGCCCATACTGGTTCTGCGCTCCTACTCGCCTCTTTACCTCTATTTCTGATCTATGTAACAACAACAGCCCACTGGGCTTCGACACCAGATTGGAAGTGGGCTGTGCGGCCACAGAGAGCACTCAGGGCTTTGGTGGGGATTCTCTGCGCTTTAACTATGTGGAGAACAGCTCTCTCAGAAAGTGAGCCCAGCTCTGATGGACAACCAGGTGATGAGAGAGCGGTGACCTCCTCAACCCTCCCACTTCCCACCCCTGACTCTTAGCAGCACCAGCGAAGGGAGATACTGATTCCCCATTATGTTGGCTTCTCCAGCCTTCAAACCTACCTCTTAGGCGGGTGAGCCCCCCGGAGCACGTAAAGTCGCCGCAGGCACTCTTTCCCGCAGCCTCTGGCTTCTGTCTTGGGAAGGGGAGGGTCGCAACCTCAAGCCACGGAGAGGGGCGTGCACCACTCTCCTAGGAGCCCAAACAGAATCAGTCTCCACCCCCGCAGGCGCGGCGTGTTTACAAAGTCCTCAGCGAGCCGGGGAACGCGAGTTTAAAACTGGGCAGGAAGTGGGGAAGAGGGGGCGGGTGAGACAAAGGGGGCTGAATGCTCCGCTCAGCTAAGGTTAGGGCCTGCAGACCTCGCCCCCGTGCCCCAGGTGACGAGTTGGAGGGGCCCATCGCGTTTACGGGCAGAAGCGGCGCAGGTCTCCAAACATAATGCCTTCAGGGCATTCGCCACTCAACCACGCGCTACCCAGGGGATAAACGCAGTAGGCGAATGTACATCTATCACCGTGACACACCCATTTTATTAGCTTGTTTTTTTCCCCCATCAATCCCACCCCAGTTTCACAAAAGAGGAACTGAGGCACGGTGCGGCTAGGTCATATGCCCGTAGTCCCACCACTAGCCAGTATTAGAATTCAAACCTAGCGTCTGCGTCCTGCCAGGCATCCGCAAAAGGAGAAGAATAAGGCGCGGTGCGGTCCTCATCCGTAGAACCCCCATCCCGAGGGTCTGGCGAGCAAATGAACAGAAAACCCACAGGCACCGCAGGCCCTGGGAATGAGGCTGGCAAGGGACAAAAACCTCCCTCGGCCTGCATCTCCCAACTGGCACCGCAAATACCTGCGGATTGAGGGCAGAACGGTGCAAAGAGGACCTGGGCTAGGTTCTAATCGCAAGTGAGTCATTGATAGGCTGTAGAATCGCAACACAACATAAGATTTCCCAGCTCAGGAGAATCATCTTAAGAACTAACAGTACATATTCTCAGGCCCCTCCGGCAGACCGTGAGTCACTGGCACTGGGCGGAGCCCAGCCAGGTGTTGCTAACAGTCAAGTTTGGGGCATTTCAAGGGGTGTGCTTTTTATGAGAAACGATTTCAGGTTGAAAGAAGTGTGAAACCGAGGGCACCGTTCCCGGGCCAATTTCGAGGCTCACGGGGGCGCCGTCACCCGTCGCTCGCTGGAGGTCACGTGAACCAAGTTATCAGGAGCAGTTCCCACTCCGTGGAGCTTTAAAAAACCCGTAGCGGCGCGCACCACCCATCCGCTCCTGGTGACTACAAATCCCATCCTGCCCTGCGCTCGCGCACATTACGCCAGAGCAAGATGGCAGACACGATGGCCACTGCCGGGGCTGGCAGCTCCGGAACGGTAAGAGGGGAGGCGGGGGTCGAAGGTGAGAAAGTCTGGGCGTTATAACTTCTTCTTAGCCTGGACAACAAGCTTATACCCATACATCCAGCCCCATTATGAGCTCCGAATAGAGGAGGGTCTTTCAGGCCGTACATACTCCCCCCTCTTTGGGACTTGGCGGCGGCCTTCTGAGTTGGTGAGCCTGCGTGTTGATTGGCTCGTCCCGGGGTTGGGAACCCGGAACATCTCCTGGTTGGTCCGAAGAGACCGTTTTCGCCTTCTTATTGGCTAGCCAAAGTTGGGAGGGATTTCTGTTTCAAAATATTTAGCTTTCCTACTTTTCCGTGCTGATATCGTTTGCCCTTCTCTCCTCAGTGTCATGTGTTGTTTTAATTTTCCTTGTTAGTGAAATGGTGTGAAGATGGGAGGAACAAGAGAGATCTTCTTTTTTTCCTGATAGACATAAATTCAATCCCATCATGCGTGTTTCTTCAGCTGTCTATCTTGATAATCTGCTAAAATAGAAAGTACGAAACACACACTTGTGTTATTAGAATTTTAAGTTTTAGGGAAGCAGAAAGGCTGTCTCCATGTTTAGAGTCGCTTGGGTGCTCAGTTTATTATTTATTTGGCCAAGATCTGTAAGTCTTGGGCTATCATATTTTATTAAGTACTGATAAATAAGTATTTAGCAAAAGAACGTTTGCTTGCCATTGATGGTGAGTGAACTAAGTGATTACATCCTTGTCCAGTGGATGAAAATCTCTCTTTCTGGGCTGCTGATTCACAGAGATCAGGAAGTAAACAGTCCACTAACCCTGCTGATAACTACTATCTGGCCCGGAGGCGAACCCTGCAAGTGGTTGTGAGCTCCTTGCTGACAGAAGCAGGGTTTGAGAGTGCTGAGAAAGCATCTGTGGAAACATTGACAGAGATGCTACAGAGCTGTAAGTACCAGGAAACAATAGGCCTTCTTTAAGTCATCTTTAAGTCTTCAACATCTGTGCTGTGTCCTGCATTGTAGTAGTGTTAGAGAGGATTTAAGAAAAAGAACAAAGTGATTTACAGGCTTTAGAATCAGATAGACTTGGGTGTAAGGCATCACTCTGCCACTTAATAGCTTGGGCAAATTGTTAGATGTCCTGACTCTTAATTTCGTGATTTGCGAAATGGAATAATAATCTGCACCTCATGCAATTGTGAGTATGAGTAAGATGTATAAGCACGTAAATCATTCAATGCTGGAAACATTGTAAGCTCTTAATGATTTGTTGGTGCTGTTATTGCTGTTTGTGTTCAATACTCAAAAAACTTAGTTTTGTTGAACAGTTAGGATTCTTATGAAACAGATGCCACCGCTTGATGTAATCAAATGATGTATTATATACAAAGATACAAAGACTAAGGGTGAATAGTAAAGATACAAAGATTAAGGGTGAATAATTGTATAGAATGTAAAAAAAAAAAACTTTTAAAAGGAAATGTTTGGAGATTTAGGACCCTGGAAAATGGTCTCATATCAGCTTTTCTGCATATACAATGTATTTCCCTGTGTGGGCCTTTTTAGGGGTAGGATAGGACAAGTGATGGAGGTATTTAAGGTGTTTTGAAGGGGTCAACACCTATGAATGGAAGTGAGGGAAAAATTTAGACAGAGGGAGTTGAACTGCAATGCAGGCCAGACAAAAAATTGGCTACCTCAGTGGGGAGCACTATGGTGATAATTGCCTATCAGGTATTCCATATCAGGGAAAAGGCTCTGCCTTTGTACTTTGGTCTTGATCACTCACTAGATGTGGGCTGCCCCAGGAAGGGCAAGGTCTGGGGTGAGGTGGCTTTCCGAAGTTCGGAACTTTTATAAACCAAATGTTTTCCTAAAGCAGTAATCTCAGACTTTTTGGTCTCCGAACCCCTGTGGACTCTTAAATATTGAGGACCCTATGTAGTTGTGTATACATAGGATGGAAAAAAAAAATATCTCCACATTAGAAAGTAAACCAGAAAATTTTAAAACATAAGAATGAACGAGCATGAGGTCCATTGTCCATCAGAACCACGATGTCATCGCAGATCATAAAGCCTCTGGAAAAATACATGAGAGAATGAGTGAAAAAGTCTCAGAATGTCTTCATTGTAATATTAAAACAGTTTTGACCTGTGGACTTTGGAAAGTTTTTCAGGGTTGCCCAGAGATTCCCAGACCACACTTTGAAAACTTTTGTCCTAAGGGAATGGACTAATACTTCCCATGAGATTTTCCCTTCAGTAAACAGATGCTGCCCACTGTTTTCACCTGTGGAGGCTAGTATTAGTGACTTGGTCAGGGTAGCATGGTGGGTTGGTGACAGGTTTTCAATTAGACACCCTTCCCTGTCAAGTATGATTTGCTTTTATCTTCGGAACCATTAGGCCTCTAGAGCAGAGGTTCCACACTTTTTTGGATCCCTTTTACATCTGATGAATTCTGTGGGCGCATCCCCAGAAAAGGGCTTTGTGTGTGTGTGTGTAAAATTGAGCACAATTTCAGTTTTCATGGAACCTCGCAACCACTTCTAAGGCCTATGCATGGAGTCCAGCTTCATACCTCCCTTTTTCCTCTGAAGGACTTTAGCATGACTCTTTTCATTTTTCAAAAAGAAATTTTTAATACTTTATTTATTTTTAGAGAGAGGGGAAGTGAGGGAGATAGAGAGGGGAATATCAGCGTGCGAGAGAAACACCTGTCGGTTGCCTCTTGCCCACCACCCATCCAGGGACCCAGCCCACGATCAATGACCTTTTGGTTTGCTGGGTGATGTCCAACCCACTGAGCCACATCTGTCAGGGGTAGCATGACTTTTTTTTAAAGGTTTATTTTATTCTCCTTCGAAAGAGGAGGGGAGGGAGAGAGAGAGAAACAGAAACATCATTTGGTTGCCTTCTACAACTGGGGATCAAACCTAGACACGTGCCCTGACCAGGAATGAAACCTACAACCCTTCGGTTATAGGACAACGCTCCAACCAACTGAGCCACTCCAGCCAGGGCAGGGCTAGCATGACTCTTAAACAGAGGTTCATTTTTAGGCAGACAACACAGACAATAAGATTTTTTTTTTTTTTTTTTTTTTTGGTGGCAAGATACATATAACATAAAATTTACCATTTTAACCATTTTTAAGTATACAATTCAGTGACATTAAATGTATTCACAGTGTTATACAACCATTGACACTATCCATTTCCAGAACTTTTTCATTATTCCAAACCGAAATTGTATACCCATAAACGGTAACTCCATAGTCCCGTCTCCCCACTGTCCCTGGTAACCTCTAATCTACTTTTTGTCTCTATGAATTTTTTTTTTCTCTTATATAAGTAGAATCTGAAAACATTTTACTTTCTGTGTCTGGCTTATTTCACTTACCATAATGTTTTCGAGGTCCATCCATGTAGTAGCATGTCTTACACTTCATTCCTTTCCTATAGATAAATGATATTCTGTTGTATGGATACAAGGTCTGTCCAGAAGGTACCCAGCCATGTAATATGGAAAATAGAGGTATTTATTCAAGAAGATACAAGATACAATAAACATTATTCATAAGACAATGATGCCTTAGTCCCCTTCAAAGTAGGCACCTTCGGACCTCACACAGGTTTCCCAGTTGCCATCAACTGCCCCATTGTATTTTCCTGAATCTCATCAGTGGGCTGAAACCTCTTCCCTTTCAAAGGTGATTTTAGTTTTGGGAAAAGCCTAAAGTCTCAGGGTGTCAACTCTGGCCTGTATGGGGGCTGAGTTACCTGGGTGATTTGATGTTTGGCCAAAAATTCTGCAGGAGACGTGATGCATGAGGAGGTGTGTTGTTGTGATGAAGGTACCAATCACCAGTTGCCCATAGTGGTTCTTGTGCTTTAGTCCCAGAAGGGCAGTTGATACTGGTGGAAGGAAAAGATAGTTGATGTGGCCTTCTGAATCATCTGATAGTTTCTGTGGAGGAATATTCAAGCTTAATGCAGAACTTAATGCAGATTCATTGCTGTACTCACTCAGTCATTTTGAATGCAATGACCACACAGTACATGTGCTCACTCAATGGCATCTATTGCCCCCACTGACTAGTATGATGAAGTCATTCACGCATGTGCATTCCAATCCACTTTCCTTGGCTGCCAGGTTAAATCGATGCTGCACAAACCATTTGCATTATGTTAACAATGACTGGACTTTTTCTGGATAGGCCTCGTAGACCACATTTTGTTCATCCATTCATTTTTCGATGGGCACTGGGTCTTTCCCCCTTCAGGCTATTATGAATAATGCTGCTATGAACATTGGTGTACAACTATCTCTTTGAGTCCCTACTTTCAGTTTGTTTGGGTATATATACAGGAGTTGAATTGCTGGCTCATATGGTAATTCTGTGCTTAACTTCTTGGGAACTGAAAATAAGACTTTATGCCTTTGATCCTTTCTTAGACATTTCAGAAATTGGAAGGAGTGCCAAGTCTTACTGTGAGCATACAGCTAGGACCCAGCCCACGCTGTCGGATATCGTGGTCACACTTGTTGAGATGGGTGAGTACACAAGTTTCCAATTCTTCAGTGCCGCTGAGTTGGAGTTATGGGAGAGAGAGGAGTCCCCAGGAGTCAGTCACATCTGCTGAATGTTTGTGAAATCCCTCATGGTCCTTCTGGTCTGCTTTTAGCTTGAGAGGGTTATCAGAGGCTTCCATTTAATAGTCCTCCTAACTCCCTGTTGGGGAATTCTGCTGAAGCTTCTTCTCGGTGGCAGCAAAACTCTTGAGTTGGGAGTTTAAGCTGTTTCAACATGGTATTACTCTCTTTCCCATGTTCAATATCCAGTGATATGGGCAGTGACTTTTGTTTTCTTATTTCTTAGGTTTTAATGTGGACACTCTCCCTGCTTATGCAAAACGGTCTCAGAGGATGGTCATCACTGCCCGTAAGTGACTTTGAACTGAGGTTCTCAGTAATGCTCAATATGCTTGTGGAATGAACTGACTGAACAGGGCAGGGATCGGTTTGTTCAGCTACTTACTTATTGCAGGCTTCCTTCCATTATTTGAGGCTACGTATAATATAATCTTTGTTTGGGCAAATAGGGCTGGGATATGAAATTCAATCACCAGAAAAGAAAAATGTCTCTGAGATGTCACTGTAGTTCTTGTGCTTTAGCCCCAGAAGGGCAGTTGATGCTACTTAAAAAATGCTAAAGCTCTTGTACTTCCTTAGGTCAGGAGTCAGTAAACTATATCTGTAGGCCTAATAGGACCCACCACCTGTTTTTGTAAATAAAGTTTTATTGGAACACAGCCATGTTTACTTGTCTTTGGTTGCTTTGTGTTGTGATGGCAGCATTGAGCAGCGGTGACAGACTGTATGGCTTGCAAAACCTAAAATACTTACCCTCTGTCGCTTTATACAAAAAGTTTGATGACCTGTACCTTAGATGGAAACTGAGTGGTGTAAACGGAGTTGGGACTAGTGAGTGTGGGCTTACAGGAGAATGTGGGGAGAATTCACTAGATTTTTTTGTCATCGCTTTTTTCAAGCTGGCATCTTTTGAAGAACTTCCCTCTCAAGTAGCAGTGGAAGGTGCCATTTCCAATCCCCTGTTGTTGTCATGAGCCCGCAATTACTTGTCCTGGCATATTGTATGTCTTTGGTATCTGGGTTCCATGAGAAGAGAGTTAGCAGCCTCTCTAACTCCTTAGTTCCTCAGCATCCTCATCACGCTCTTCTGTGAAGTGCATGTGGTCACAGCCACCCACTCACCTACTTCAGAGGCATGCAGGCAGATTGTTGTTGATGGGAGTGTTACCCAAGGTCACTCAGCAGGGCTGGGCATGTGGTGGTGACCTCAGGGCCTTAGGTCCTTAAAGGCCTTTTAAGAAGGAAATACGAAGTACCTGTTGTTCAGAAAATTGAGATCCAGCATTTACTTTGAGAAAAGCAGGGTTTGGGTGGAGGAGTAACAGGTGTGACTCTGTTGCAGCTCCAGTGACCAATCAGCCAGTGACCCCGAAGGCGCTCACTGCAGGACAGAACCGACCCCACCCACCGCACATCCCCAGCCATTTTCCTGAGTTCCCTGACCCCCACACCTACATCAAAACTCCGGTGAGTGACAAGGACATGGTGGGGGCTGGGACTAACGCAAAGCAGCAGTGAATTCTCACTGACCGTTGGACCAAAAGCTTGTTGGTAAAAGGTGGGCTCATAACTCAGAATGTCTCTTCTTATTGAGAAACAGTTTGGCAAAAAAGAATTATGTTCTCTAGTTGGTTGACGAAAATATAGTTAACAAGAAACTGAAGTCTGTGCAGTTTTGCCTGTCCTACCAAAACACAAAAGGTCCTATCCACATTAGAGACTGGAAGGATATTCCACAAAATGTTCATAGTAATTCTCAGTGGGCCATAGGTAACTGTTGTTTTCTGTGTGCTTTTCTGGGTTTTCCAGATTTTTTGTAGAAAAAGAGTTATTTTTGAAATTGAGGAAAAGATTGTTTAAAACATACTTGGTGGTAACATGAAATGAAACTTATTGTAACTCTTGAGTTCCGGGTCTGAATGAGGACAAATTGAGTTGTCTTCCATGGTTCAGATGTGTCCTCATTTGCCAGATTAGCAATTTCGCCCTCCTTTGGGAACGGTGCGGTATGCAGAGGAGTCCCCAGAGGCTCTTCCACACACCTCATTTTTCGCTGCCTCCACACAAGGTACCGGTGCAAATACAGCATCCTGTGGGCATTGCAGACAAGTCCTCCCAGGCATTTCTCCACACCTCAGGATACTGGTGGAAGGAATAGATAGTCACCCACCATTGCAATACAACTGTTGCCCTTGACCAGTAGTCTCTGTATTAGTGTCCCAGAGCTGCTGTAACAAAGTACCACAAACTAGGTGCCTTAGAACAACAGAAATTTATTGTCTTACAGTTCTGGAGGGTACATGTCCAAAATCAAGGTGTTGCCTCCTCTGAACCTGTAGGAGAACCATTCCTTGTCTTTCCTCACTTCTGGTGGTTTATAGGCACTTCCTTGGCTTATAGATGCAGCATTCCAGTCCTGTGTCTTTACATGGTGTTCTGTCTGTGTCTCTGTCTTCATGTGGCCATTTTCTTACAAAGGTGTCACTCATGTTGGAGCAGAGTCCCACCCTGCTCTTGTATGACCTCTTCTTGACCGATCACATCTGCAATGACCATTTCCAAATTAAATCATATTCTGAGACACTGGGGTTTAGGACTTCAACATACTTTTTTAGGAGACACAATTCAGACGAGATCGGGTACATTAGGGTGGTGTAGCCATATATGTGGGGACACAACCCATAACAGTCCCTAACTCTTCTATAGTGTATTTCTGTCAGTAAAAATATTAAGTACATACTCTAGTACACGTTCATGCTTATTTACATGAATATTATAATGTATCACTGTACTAAAATAATGGACATTAAAAGATAATCTGATCATTATTAAAGATTCAGGAGACCTGTGTTTGCTCCTTTATAGGGGCAGCCATGTGATGATCTCTGCTTTTTAGTTTTTGAAATCTTGGTGGAATAATATGTTAGAGGCCTGATTCTAAAATCAGTTTATTTTAATACTTTAACAGCTTTCATAGTTGAAAAAGGTACATTACAAAGATATGTAGCATTATCGATGCCCCTTAATACATCACAAAACTAATTTTTTCATTTTCATTTACCAGTCATTTGAAAAATTTTCTGTTCAATTTCCAACTTTTTGAATCTCAGTTTTCTTAAAAATGATGGTAAGATCTCGCATTTTTTATGTCTGTAATAAGTATATTCAAAATCCACTCATTCTGGGACAGTTTTAAACCTATGAGAAAATACTGTTTCAATGTTTAAGTGTACATATGGGAACTGTACATATGTGACGCTGTTGAATTAACATTGACAACAGTGGAAATGTTTTTAAGTGCCCCCTTTAAAAATGCTGTCTCCAGCTCTGGCTGGGTGGCTCAGTTGGTTAGAGCATTGTCCCATACACAAATCCTTGTGGGTTCAATCCCCAGTCGGGGTACATAACGGGGTTACAGGTTCAATCTCTAGTTAGGGTAGGTACACGAGGCAACCTATTGATGTTTCTCTCTCCCTCTACCTTCCTCGCTCTCACTCTCTCCCTCTCTCTCTCATTCATTCTCTCCCCCTCCCCCCTCCATCCCTTCTTCCCTTCCACTCTCTTGCAAATCAGTAAATCCTTGGGTAAGGATTTTTTTTTTCCAATCCTATCTCCACATCACAAAGGGGAGTTACTCTTTTGGTCATTGTTACAATGTCATATATACCAATGTTTTGGCCAGCTTCTTGTTCTGACTAGATTACAATCATTTTTCACTGCACCATGTGATTGTCAAAGAGCTCAGAATTAGGGGCAAGAGGAGTATGAGGCCTTTCATTTTCTTGCACTTTCACTTATATCAGTTTCATCAGTTTGTATTTCTTTGAAGGAGTTTTTTGGGACATATCCATTTTGCGAAAGTTGGCTTAAGAAAACAACATGCATCCTGGCTGGCTTGGCTCAGTGGGTTGAGCACTGGCCTGCAAACCAAAAGGTCATGGGTTCAGTTCCCAGTCAGGGCACATGCCTGGGTTGCAGGCCAGGTCCCGGCTAAGAATGTACAAGAGGCAACCAATTGATTGATGTTTCTCTTGCACATTGATAGTTCTCTCCCTCTCTTTCTTCCTCCCTGTGCCTCTCTCTAAAAAATAAATAAAATCTTTAAAAAAAAGAAAAGAAGATGGACAATGTGCAGATCCATTTAAGCATCCACTCGTGTACTACAAGATGTCACATCCCACTGATGGAACCGATGGTCCCTATCGGGGCTTCCATGAGAGATTCCCACTCTTCCTTCAGCATGCCTCTCTTACACCTGAGACACCTGTTCATGGGAGCTGATTGAAGACCCGGGGTCAATGTATAGTATATATTTGTACATTTCTTAATTTTTCAGATGAAAAATAAATTTAATGGTACTTCTATCAATTTCTTTTTGCCCTTTCATCATCCTTTGGGGATCTCTGCTCTAAATGATGGTAGTGGGTCATTTAGAGGGTGGAAGGACATAGAAATAGCAAGGCAGGTTCTCGAGGAGAGCAGAATGATCCATTGGTATTACTTTAGTGTCTTTCCTATTCTTTTTAGACATACCGCGAGCCTGTGTCCGACTATCAGGTCCTGCGGGAGAAGGCTGCATCCCAGAGACGTGACGTGGAGCGGGCACTCACCCGTTTTATGGCCAAGACAGGCGAGACCCAGAGTCTTTTCAAAGATGACGTCAGCACGTTTCCATGTGAGAGTCTGTCCCCTCTGTGGACCCTGTCTTGTCATTTGAAATAATCAGAGCATCTTCCTTTACTCTCAGCATGGTAGGGAGAAACAAATAAGCTTTGCTCTTATCTTGGGTGCATCTCATTCTTCAGATTTCTGGCTCCTTTTCCCAGGTCTTATGGGCCTTGTCCCTAACTGATCCCTCTGAACAGTAATGGCCTCCGTTGGGATTGGCCACTTCAGATACGTTGAGTTTAGGTTACCTCAAAGGTGACTGATCCCTGGGTGTCGGAGAGACTCATACAGTAGAGGTGGCAGCCCTGGAGGTAGAAGGGACCGTGGCATCAGGGGGCTGGGCAGTTAGAGAACACCTGCCGGGCTTTGCCCTCCACGGTGTCCTCGCACAGGTACCTTCTCATTTCTCATCTCGGCCCTACCATTTTGCCGTGTGACCAAGTCATCTCACCTTCACAGGCCTAAGGTTTTTCAAAGGTGAACAAGGGAGATGGGTTAGAGGGATTCATTCAGTCAACAAGTGTTCACTGGGTGCCAGACCCTGAAATAATAGCAGCTAAGTTTTTCAGTGCCAGATGCTGTGCTAATCAGTGTCCCTAAATCATCTCATTAAATCCTCCCAGGAGCCTTTGAGTCAGGAGCTGTTATTACCGCCACTGCAGGAAGCCAGTGCTTAAAAGAGGAGAAAGGAAGTAACTTGCCCAAGGCCACACAGCTAGTAGCTTTCAAACTTTGACTCCTGATAGTCACTTTCTACCATGCATAGAGACTTTCTTCTGTTTATTTATTTATTCATTTTGGCAACGATTGCTCCTTCTCATCCTCGGTGCTTTTCAGAAAATTGAGAATGCTCATTTACCTGAAGTGCCCTCCAGCTCAGTGGATATACTTAGATGCTGAGAGTTCTCTAGTCCAATATTTAGACTTGAATCCTTCAGACTGGTGGGATCAATATCTCTGCTCTAGAAATGAGGTTGAGAGGGGTTAACTGGCCTTGGATATAAGATCACTAAGCAGATGCTTTACTAGGATTCTATCCCAGTTCTGTGTGATTTTAGACGTCCTTAGGAAAAGGGAGCTCTAAAGTTATATTGCTCAAGTTCAAATCCCACTCTGCCACTCTCAGTGTGCTAGATGAAGTCACTAAACCTCTTTGTGTCTCAGGATTCTCATCTGTAAGATGGGGTTGGTAATTGTGCTTAGCTATTGAAGTGGAGGGGACGGTTAAAGATAGTATGTGTAAAGCCTGTAAGACACCGCCTGGCCCACAGAAGTGCTCGGAGTGTGTCAGGCGTTATCATCACCTGGTGCCGCTCTGATCCTTTGTAAGGCCCTAGGCCAGCTGCAAGGGCTCCATGGCAGTGGAATTGTGCCTCTCTTCCAATCCCACAGTGATTGCTGCCAGGCCTTTCTCCATCCCCTACCTGACAGCTCTTCTCCCATCTGAACTGGAGATGCAGCAAATGGAAGAGACGGACTCCTCGGAGCAGGATGAGCAGACTGACACGGAGAACCTCCCTCTTCATATTAGCACGGTAGGTCCTGACTTTTGCCTGCTTCAGGGTAACCCCCAAACCAGCCCACACTGCCCTCAGCCTGACACCCTGGGAATTGGACATGACCTACTCCAGGCCTCTGCCTTTATGTTAGGGACTTGTGTGTGGGCTCATGATGATCCAAGTGTGACATGGTCTGTAGCTTGAGAGGCAGTTCCGTGTCCTGGGGAATTCATTCATTCAGTCAACAAATGTTGAATGAGCGCCTGCCAGAGCCAGGCACAGTTCCAGGTGTTGCAGAATTGGTAGGAGAGAAAACTGACAAAATTTCCTGCCTGATGGAGTTAAGGTATGGAATAATAAATTAGGAGAGGGGAGGTAGCTATGGGCATGGGGGAATGCGGTGCTAGGGTGATTGTGAAAGTGACATGTGAGTACAGACCTGACAGACCAAAGCTTACACGTATCTGCAAGTGGAGCATTCCTGACAGAGGGAACAGCAGATGCAAAGGCCCTGAGGGGGGAGCTGTTGTGTTGAACAGCAAGGCCATTAGTGGCCAGAGTGGCATGAACAAGCTGCAGAACAGTAGGGAATGAGGTCAGAAAGCTAATGGGGGAGTCAGATCTTACAGGCTCTGATAAACATGGGCTTCTTCTCAGTCAGCGGGGAGCCATGGGAACGATCGAGCAGAGGAAGGCCAAGAGCTGATGTAGGTTTGTCATTAGCGTCAGTCGTGTTGAGAGCAGACTAAAAGGTAAGTGTAGAAGCAGAGAAACTAGTTAGGAGGCTCTTGCAGTAAACTGAGAGATGGTGGTAAAAGCCTAGATAATGACGTATGGTCAGATAAATTATTGGTCAGGTTTTAGATAATTTTCAGTGTGGAGCCAACAGTTGGAGTGGATGTGAGATGTGAGAGGAGAGAGTCAAAGATAAAGGCAAGGATTTTTGCTTGAATAGCTGGAAAGATGGAGCTGCCTTCAACCATGACAGGGAAAACTGTTGGGTGGAACAGGTATGGGGGTTGCGGGGAAAGCCACGAGTTCAAGTTTACAGGAGGTAAGTATTAAAGATGCTTAGTCAACATCTAGGTGGTGATGTCACCTAGAGAGATGATGTATGAGTTGGAGTTTGAGGAGCTGTTAAGGCTATCGTTGGAAACTTGAGAGTCATCAGCAAATGAATAGTGTGTAAAAAAACCATGAGACTAGATGATCTCCTAGGGAATGAATGAACATATAAAAGAGGTACAAGGACTGAGCCCTGGGGCTCTCTACTGTTCAGACAAGGAGGTGGCAGAGGCACGGCCAGAAAGGTGGGAGAGCCCGCAGGCTGCGGTGTCCTGGAGGCCAAGGGAAGGAAGTATTTCAGAGAGAAAAGAGTAATCGCATGAAAAGCTTTAGTTAGTGTCAGTAATATGAGGACTGAGAATTTGTCCATTAGATTTGGTGATGTGACTGTAAATCGTGACCTCAACAAGAACAGGCTCAGCAAGAATGGGAGCGAGGGCTTGCAGGGAAGTCAGGGAGAGTGGGAGAAGAGAGATGGGCATCGGTGAGTATAGATTTGCACTGTCCATTACAGTAGCCATATGTGACTGTTTAAATATAAATTCATTTAAATAAAACTAAAAATACAGTTTCTTAGTTACACTAGCCACATTTTAATAGCCACATATAGGTAGTGGCTACCATATTGGCCAGTGCAGAGAGGAACATTTAAATCATCGCAGAAACTTCCATTGGACAGCACGTAATAGACAGTTATTTCAAGGAATTTTCAAGTTGGGGAAGGAGAGAAATGATATAACTAAAGGGAAAATTAAGGAGTTAAGAAGAGGTGGTTTTTGTTTGTTAGGATACAGGAAAAACATGTTTGTAGGCTGATGGGGATGATCTGGTAGAGAGGGAAAATTGATGCAGGAGGGAAAAACATTTTGGAATGATGTTCTTTGGTTGGTGACAGCATGCAATCTAATGCCCAAACGGAGGGGTTAACCATGTCCCGGGCATTTCATACCCAGGATAGGACGTAGAGCCATGCTCACCGGAGCTTGTGGGTGTTGTTTTCTGTTTATCAAGGTGTTGTACTTGGCAAGAGAAAGCAGAACCCGCTCTCATCCCTGCGTCGTGGGAGAAGGTAGAGGAAATCACAGAACCACTGAGAGCTCTGATGCCTGCAGGGGTGTCCAGGCTTTTGGCATCTCTGGGCCACACTGGAAGAAGGAGGGCAGTCTTGGGCCACACATTAAATACATTGCTTCTCGTAATCATAAAAAATTTCATAGCATTTTAAATTTATGATTTTTGTGTCAGGCCGCATTCACATCCGTCCTGGGATGCGTGCGGCCCACGAGCCGCAAGTTGGACACCCCTGCTTAAGGCTTGTAGAACCCTGAAAGTCAGGTCACTGTGTTCATCCATTCTTACGATTGGCCTTGGCTCTTAAGCAAAAAAATACCTTTGTGGTTGAAGTTGGACTAAAAGTTCTGTGTTTTCCAAGGTGCGATGCACAAATGGCAGCCAGCAGCTGCAGTTGGAGGCGGAGAGGGCCAGCGCTGTGTGTTACCGTGTTGCTCATCCTTGCCCGAACACACATTTCTTTACTGTTGGATGATTATTTTCAGAAGTAGGGCTGGGAGCCCATGGCTTTACATAAAGCAGAGGGACTGACTTGTTATTCTGCCCTTCTGTTTTGGAGTCAGTTAATTTGGTCTGAGATAGGGTGACTGTGTGATGGACTAAGAGGAGGTTCACCTTATGGGAAAGAGGAATCTTCTAAGCAAACATCACTGTCCCTTTATAAGTACAAAGTAGTTAAAGGGTTTGCAGATGTATTATCTAACACATCAGGTAATGACATAGGGGAGGTCATGGCAGTGAGTGAGTCGAGGCTGAAAGGACGCCAGGAGCTGCCTGTGCCCTCCTGGATCCTGAGAGGCCAAGCCACACGGCAAAGAGGAGAAAGACCTGACCCTTGGAGTCAGACTGACCTGGCTCAGGTCCAGACCATGCTACTTTCCAGATACATGACTGTGGTTGCATTACCCAACATCTGAGCCTGTTTCCTCACAAGTACAGGTAGGAGCAGCAATGCCTACCTCAAGAGGAAGCAGGAGCCTGAGCTAGAAGGAGCTCATATATCAAGTGCCTGGCACATGGCAGCTCATGGCCCCCATTGCTCCCTCCCGTGCTCTTTTGGGCTATAAAAAAATAAATGAAAAGACTTTTGAGAAAAGGATTCTAGCTGCAAATTTATGTACAATCAATTGAACTTGTTACTTTGTTGGACTGGCAAATATATGTTTAAATCTATAAAAAGAAGTATGGTAATAATTCTTTCTCTCATCCTTGTTGCCCATTACCCACTTTCCCGCTTACAAAGCAACCAGTCACCAGTCTCTTGTGTGTCCTTCTAGAGACGTGGGTTTTTTTATTGTTTGAAACACAAGCAGCAAGTCACAGATGGTTTTCCCTTGCTGTTTGCCCTCATCGCTATGTGGTGGCAATCATTCCATATCTGTATATAAGGAGTAGCTTCATCCCTGCTCGCAGCCTCATCATGTGCTACTGTATGGATGGAATAATTAAATTTAACCAGTCCCCTGTGGACATTTAGGTTGTTTGTGATCTTTAGCATTTGCACTCATTGTTACAGTTAATTAAATAACTGGTAATTTAGATTATTCTTTTATCTGTTAATGGCAGCATATCTCTCAAGGACTGTTAACATGGTTTTTACTTAACCTGGTCTGGTTTATCAATCTACTTGAACATAAAGGGACTATTCATTTTAAATTGGTGTGTAATAGAATTATTTTTCTCTTCCGTTTGAACTAGCTGTCTTCTGCAGATATCTCAGTGTTGAAACTTTTGCTCTTTTATGAACATTGTACCAGTCATTTATTTATTTGGTACCTGGTGATATGTGCCAGGTACTATTCTAGATGCTTGGGACCCAATAGTGAACAGAACAAAGAAAACATCTACCTCTTAGGAGTCTATGTGTTGGCATTGGGGGAATGACAGTAAACAGAGTACATAAATAAATTATTATGTAGTATATTAAAGATTAAAGTGCTTTTGGGGGCAGAAAGAGAAGACCTAGGGTGAAGGGTAGAGGTTCAGTTGTAAATAAGGTGCTCAGGGTAGACATCACTGAGAAGGTGACATTTGAGTAGAGACTTGGAGAAGGTGAGGGAGTAAGCTATGTGGTTATCTGCAGAAGAATGTTCTAGAAAGGGGGCAGCCCGTGCAAAGGCCCTGAGGAACAGCATGGAGGTGAGTGTGTGTGTGGGTGCGGAAGGCAGAGAGGGAGAGGGCGGGGTCAGATCAGGTAGGACCTTCTAAGCAGTTTTAAGAACTGTCTTTCAACTGGGTGAGATGGGAGTTGTGGGAAGGTGTGGAGCGGAGGAGGGACATACCTGAGTGAACTTCTTCCGGGATCACTGGCTGCCGTGAGGGAAGGGACTGTAGCTGGGCAGGTAGAGGAGAGACTGTAGAGGAGGATACGTTAGGGAGCAGCTGCTGTAGTCCAGATGGGCAGTGGTGGTGGGTCCTACCTACCAGGATGGTCACATAGAGGTGTTGAAAGTGGTCAGATTCTGCCTGTATTTTGAAGGAAAGGCCAAGAGGTTTTTCCTAACAGATTGGATTTGGGGTATCAGAGAAAGAGAAGAAGCAAGAATGACTGGAGGTCTTGGCTTAAACATCCGGGAAGGTAGAGTTGCCATCGTCAGTGGCCAGGAGGACTGTGGGAAGGGCTGTTTACGCACAGGGGAAGGTCCAGAGTTCAATTTTAGGCACAGTAAGTTTGAAGTGCCTACCTGACGCTCAAGTGGAGATGTTGAGTGGCTGTGGCTGCGTGAGCGTGGAGGTCGGGAGACAAGGGAGGCAGGGAGAGGTCCGCGTGGGTGGGAGTCCTCAGAGTGGAAGCAGCACTGAAGCTGTGGACTGGATACAGACGCCCAGGGGTGGGGCTCGCTAGCACGCACGCATTGCCTGAGTCCGGCCTTTCCGGACAGACCCCTCTGCTCCCACTGTTTTTACAAGTCATGGTTGATTTAGTACTTCTTTTATTTATTCTTACCTCTCAAGGCTACCTGTCCCTGAGGGAGGCAAGGAGTGGCATTTCCAGAAGTTCTGCTTGAGAGAAGGAGAGCTGTTATCCCATGACTGGGACCCACATCCTGACCTTGTGAGACAGAGGGAGCCAAATGGAGGGAGCCTCAGTGCCCTCCAGCAGAGGCCACAAGGCTGGCTTTTCAGCACCCCTGTGGCACCTCAGTCCTTATTTCAGGAAACACTTAAGGCACAGTTGAAGTGAATTTCTAGTAACTCTAAAGAAAGGGCATTGGTTGACCTTTGAGAAATGATAAGAGGCGGGCAGAGGATGCTTCTAAATGAAGCCATAAGGAATTTTAGAAAGGTTAGCAGCCAGATGTGCAAGGCAGGTTTGGAGGCTGTCAGACCTTGTGTCTGGTGTGAGCTAGGTTGATCTTGGGCCCTTGCTTTCCGGAGAGCCTCCAGAAGGTCCATCTGGCTCTAAGTCACCTGTGGTCCCACCAGATCAGGTGTTGAAGAGAAAAGGCACAGGGATCTTGCATGGATCTGGGTCTTTGGGGAGGACACAATTGATGGGACAGAGCGAGAGCGTGCAGTGGAACCTAGAAGTGATCCAGTCCCTTCAGGGTCACTGAACCTGACACTGTGGCCCGACTGCTAGGCCAGCGGTGTCTGTGGGAGAACCTGCTGTTCATTTTCTGTCGTCTGATCGCAGTGTCCTCTGCCCTGCTGTCTCTTGGCAACAGAATCTCCAGTTGAGGTCAGGTCCTCTTTCGCCTCAAGTTACAGAACAGAAATCTCAAGTGACAGAACCCTTGGCATGTCACCAGGGGGCGCAGCCCAACCAGAGTCTCTGGTCACATTCAGTCACTTAGGAATGAACTCCTAGGTCAAGTTCAAGTGATTTTGCCCCCCACTTCCCCTGCAGCTTCTGCTCATTTTACAGAACTTAGAAATTAGAAGCGATTCTAAATAATAAAAGAAGAATCAATCATCCATGTACCCAGAACTAGTTTTTAAAATTTCAACGTATGACTTTTTTTGTGTTTTCATGCAATAGTGATTTTTAAAAATTTTTAATTGTGGTCATATTGAATATATGTAAGCTTACAAACTTTTCTACAACATTACTTTCTTCAAAAACCAACCTGGGAAAGCCCTGATCCCCAGGACGCAGATGGGGGTTCTCGGTGCTGTTCCCGCATTGGCGCGGGCGCTCTGCTCTGCCTTGGTGGGACTCTCAGGGCTCCAGAAGTTTCTGGCGTCTACTGCAATATGATCATTGGTACCATGTTGCAAGTACCAGATATTTGAGAAAACAGGGATGGGGGCGTCACCTCTTATGCTGCACCTTAGCTTTGGTTCAGGAGAGGCCCTTTGCATGTGATTTATTCTGACCCTGTGTCTGTAAGTGTGGAGGCTCGCTTCTCTTTTTCTTCTATCCCTCCCCCCCCAGGTTGGGCTTCCTTCTTAAGCCCTTACAGTTTAGCCCCTGACCCCTTGCTACCAACCACTACCCTCCCCCACCCCCGCCAGTCTCTATTCTTTCTGACTCATGTCCCTGCCTTGTCAGGCATTCAAGGTTTTGTGTTCTGTGCTCCACTGTGTCAGAGCTGTTGGTCTCACCTTCCTCTGATAGCTAGCTGCTGCCTGGAACTCATTTCGCCTGAGGCAGAGATAAGCACTTTGGAAAGAAGGTGGGCCCTGAGCTTCCAGTTCCTCCATGAAAGGACGCTAATAGTTCTTATTATGGGCAAGATCTCTTCCCTTGTGCTGTTAGTGTTTTGCTTTATTTCGTCTTTTGCTCAAAGGATGATTCTGGAGCCGAGAAGGAGAACACCTCTGTCCTGCAGCAGAACCCCTCCTTGGGGAGCCGCAATGGGGAGGAGAACGTCATCGATAACCCCTACCTGCGCCCTGTGAAGAAACCCAAGATCCGCAGGAAGAAGTAAGTTGGAAGTAGGGGTGCAGAGAGGCTTCCCTGGCCAACCAAGGTGGTCTTCTCTGCTTTTTGGCAGAAAATAGGGGCTTACCAGTGGGTCTGAACCTTGGGGAAAGCTACTCTGCTGAGAGGATTTTTTTACCTTTTCTCCCCTTACTCGTCTCCATTATGTACCTCTCGTTGCATAGATGTTGAGCTTCCTGCAGCCCTGGGACCAACCCTCACAGCCCTGGAGTTGTTGCCCCCTAGGAGGAGAGCAGGTGGGGCCCCGCCAGACAGGCTCCATGGATTCCTCTTCTTTCTAGGTCTCTCTCGTGAGTTGAGAAGGAAACCTGCCTTGTACAGAGACACGGACACCACTCTCCTAGGGGAGTTAAAGTCACTCCCGGGAAGCAGAGAGGATGGCCTCCCCATGGTCCAGCCAAGGGTGCTTGGGCGTGACTGGGCATGATTTTAACAGCAAACTCTCTGTTAAGATTTCCTATTTTCACTGGATGTTTGGGTTGAGGAACATAGGGTGGTAATAAAATGAAGCTTTCTTAACCAACCAGGCTGTACGGTGGGGTGTAGGAGCAGCGAATGACTTCATTTCTTATCACAGGACCTCATTCCTTTGAAACCTGAAAGACCAGCGAAGGCAACAGGAAAGAAGGGGTTCTGTGCCTCCTTGGCATATCGCCAGAAAGACTTTGCCTAGTTTCTAATTAAGGCTATTGGGACCCCTTGTATTGACTCACAAACAACTTGTAGCACCAATTTATCATCCTAGAACCTCCTTTTTGTTATTTTCCTCACCTGGGCTCCAAGCGCCCTGTTGAGCTGACTGAAGGTGACGTTGACTTCCCTCATTTTGGAAACAGGAGGCCCACACCATCATTCCTTGCTCCAGGGCTGGCGGGAATGAGGAGGTGGGAACAGAAACATAACATGGAGGAGAATGATGCATAACGGTGCACCGAGTCTCTCATCAGCATTTGATGAACACTCCCTGAAACATTTATCATTTATTGTACCTCTTGGAATGTGTGCTTGGGAACTACCAAGTCCTGCCCCATCCCGGAAGAGTTTTCTCCGACAAGAGCCTCTATCAGTGATATATTGTGCTGTGCCTTGATAGAGGAATCACCAAGTTTAAACAACAGGAAAGGGATTTGATGGGGGGCAGGGGGTAGGCATGAGATCTTGAGGGCTGAGATGGCTTTGCATTCTGAGGGCTGAGAAACCCGGCCCGGTCTGCCAGAAGGTCGGAAGGTCGGCACAGACGGAAAGCCGTGCCCCTGCGCCATGGCAGAAGTGCGCTGGGAGGAGCCAGCAGCCAGGCCAGGTGTTCTTCCAGAAGCAGGTCTGAACCGGTTCGACCTCTTTGCTTCCTGGGAGAGATTTCGTCTTTCACATACTCTACAGATCAAAAAACAAGTGCTTAAGGAAGATGCTGTGCAAGCTGATCCTTTTGACTGGTCTCCAAAGGAAGAGGTTTAACAACCGAGTCTTAGGAATAAACATGCCAGTGACCCTGGGAAGTTAACAGGATAAACGAGGAGTTCCCTGGGCTAGCACCCTAACGTCCACGTTGAGTTTTCCTATACTTGGCTTCCACAGTCATCTCGTAATCTTCCATGTTCTTGGTGAACTTGAAAACTCAGAAAACTTGGTGACTTCGACAGCAGGCTCGATGTCCCTCTGGCCTCAGTTCTCTAGGGCACTGCATCCCGTCACCCTGGAGGAACGAGCTGCTTGTCAGTAACTGAAGAGGGGATCCCGGTGAGAAAAGTGGATTCCCCAGCTCTGGACCAAAGTTTTTCGGGTTTGTGGTGGCCTGAAACCCTTCCCGTTGAAAGCAGTCAGGTGGGCCTGTGCCGACCCTGGGAGTGTGTGGTCGGCTCTTGGCGGTTCTTGGTCTGTTGAGTTTGACTCCAGTCCCAGGTCTGAGTCACAGCAGAGGCACGAGGAAACCTTCCCGGCTTGCTGTCTTCACAGCTCTGGGAGCGGTCATCCCTGTCAGTATTTCTGCAGTTCCTCCTGCTGTTACCATTCAGAACGAACACTCGCTGAGTGCCCCACACTAAGGGCAAGGGCAAGATTTGGAAAAGAGTTGCCAGGTCCGCTGTGGGGGTTTCAGAGGCTGTGCTGCTGGGATTCTGTGCTGGATGAGATGCCGGGAGACGGTCAGACAACCTGGAATGTTGCCCGGACTATTGTGTTGTAAAAACTGTGCCTACTCCTCAATGTATATTTACACATTTCTATTTTTTATAATTTGGGGGGAATTCTTGGAGGGAAAAAGTAGTAAACACAATAAGTTTAAGAATGTGTTTTGTAAGCTCTTAATAAAAGGTCATGAGAAAAACTTTGTAAATGAAACAGAATTTTATAAACTTTGAACTTAATTTGTATTCAGAAGTCATAGCAATGAGTAAGGCTCTAAAGAGGCAGGTGAAGCTTAGCCCTTTTGTTAACTAGGTGCCCCTGCTAACTATCTAAAATTTTATTTTTGAAATTTTCAAATCCAAAATTAGAGAGGAAAGTATGTACTTTCCCCATATTTCCACCACCCAGCCTCAGCACTTGTCAACATCCTTTCAATTCCATTCTATCTATTTCTCCCACTTCTTTATTTTTTTCTTTCTGAAGTATTTTTTAAACCACATCCAAGACCCATGTCATTTAATCTGTAAATATATCATTATGCATCCGTGGTAGACTTTTTCTGGTGGACATTTTTAAATTTTGAAGTAATAGAATCACAGGGTGCTACAGAAGAAAATGTTCTGGGTGGTCATATGTACCTTTCACCCAGTTCCCCTAGTGGTAGCATCTTATGTAAATATAATACTAAACCCAGGAAATAGGCATTGGTACAATCCACACAGCTTATTCAGATTTCACCATTTCCCCTGTGTGTGTGTGTAATTCTATGCATTTTTGTCATGTGTAGATTCAGGTACCCACCACCACAATCAAGATACAGAACATGTCTATTACCACGGCTCCCTCAGGAGTTAACTGAGAAACCAGTGACAAAGTGGTCTGGGGTTTTGGGAGAAACAAGTGTAAAAGCAGCTTTGTTTTTATGGAATCCAAAAGTCCCCTTACCTAGAGGTCGTGTGGCTCAGGAAAGCAAGGCTTGGTGACGTTTGTATTTACAATTTACCAGCTGTGAGATACGTGGCAGATCACTAAACTTCCAAACCACTTTCTCTAAAATGAGGTAATTATGATACCTCATCAGGAGGATTTAATGAGAATGTCTGCAACTGTGCTTTATAAATCAATTATTCCACTGCCAGACCAGTGTTTTCTGTTGCTCTTCTATTTTTTCTATTTATTGAATTTATTGAGGTGACATTGGTTTAGGAAATTATGCAGGTTTCAGGCGCACAATCCCACAACACATCACCTGTACACTGCACTGTGTTTGCCACCCCGAGCCAAGTTTTCCATCCCTCTCTCCCCTGTACGCTCCTCCACCTACCTCATACCCCGTCCCTGGCAATCACTGCACTGTTTTCTGTGTCCATAAGTTTTTTTCTCATTTTTTTCTTTTGCTCATTCCCCCCACCCCTACACAAACACCTAGCCCCCCCAACCCCACCCCTTGATTCTGTTGCTTTTAAAATTATGTATAAACTAATACTAATTGAAAACTGTTGCCAGTCATGGTTCCGAGTGTCTTACACTTAGCGTCTTAGTCTCATGTAATCCTCACAATTACCTCAAAAGTAGATGTTCTTACTGTCCCCATCTGTAGCTGAGGACACAGAGCTCGCTCAGCGGCTGCATAGCCGCACTGCAGTGCAGCCCCAGGTGTCTGCTCCAGGGTTCCCGCTGCTTACCTTTCACCCTTGCCCTGTGACCGTGCATGCTTCTGTTCCTCAAATACACCAAGCGCTTCTGTGTCAAGGTGACCCTACCGCACACCCATGCCCTCCTCGGCTTGCAGGTGCGAGAAGGAAACCAGACAGAAACAGAACCACTTGTGGAGAGGGATGGCATCGCTGCTAATTACTGTGCTCATCCATTCCTTCATGAAGTAGGTCAGGGGACACGTTTTTGTGAAGACTTCTGATCAGTTTATGAGTAATGGATCTGTAACAGATTATTAAGGAGACCAGGATTTCCTTAGTGCATAGAGAGTGAGGATCTGGTCAGGGAAAATGCCAGTGGACTCTCTCACTGTTGGGACCTCTGGCAGAGTTGAGCTGGAACAACTTTTGATCCAAACTGAGGTGGTGTTTCTATTGAATTGAATGGTGGGGTCCAATATGAGTTAGGCTGTTCTAACAAAAAGTCTTCAAAACATAGTGGCCTAAGACAGAAATGTATGCTTTCTGTGGAAGTCTGGGTAGGTGGTCCAGGCTGGATTGGTGGCCTCAAGGGGTCCCCTCCTGTCTCATGGCTCCTCAAATCACCTTGGGTAACGCCTATGTCCCTTTTCTGGGTCCGCATCCCAGCCGGGGGAGAGAGAAAGGCAGTGTGGATAAAGGAGACCTGAAGACCCAGAAAACCTCTTAGCCACATGGCCCCACCAAGCTGCAAGGCAAGGAAGGGTGGGATTTAACTGGAAGGCTCTGGGTCTAGGTAAAAATTGGGAGCCTTGTCTCCACAGAAAGAAGGAAAGAATGGGTTTTGAGGACAACTGGCAACCTTTGTCACAAATGAGATTTAGAGCGTGTGCCCAGAAATGCCAGGCAGGATAGGAGAAAACCCTTTGCTAATGCTGAAGCCACCTAACTTGGCACCCTTGACTCTCCTAGCCGGTCCCAGTGGCCAAAAGTCAGGGGCTCCTCTAGGAGGGACCCCTCAGTGAAGTCCTTTCACCTGTGCCCTGTGGCCATGCTGGCTGCCCCTTCTATGAAGTTCTCTGGCTGCCATGACATTGCCCTCCTTTCCTTGTTATTCTACTTCTTGGCTCCCTTTTCCTTGCTGGCTCGTCCCCGCCCAGCTACCCAGCTGTGGTTGGTCCCAAACACTCCTCTGCCAGCCCAGCGACATGGCTCGTCTGCTCCTCTGCCTCCGGCTGCTCCCCGCTCAGGAGTTCTCAGCATCCATCTGTCGCTGCTGCCCACTGAGCCACCTGGTTATACTTTTCATGCAGCATGGTCGGTGGATTTGATTCACGCTTCCCCCATTCCCCAGCTTCCCCACTGTGGGCAGAAGTTGGAAACTGAGGCCCATAGCCATGGCCCCGGAGTACTCGTGGGCCGGGACTGCAGGCTCCACAGCCTGTCTCACCCAGGCTCTGTGCTGAACACTGGAATCTTGACTCTGCATCTGTATCTTGGTCACCAGATTCTGCCACCTCTCCCTTCCTTGCTGGTCTGATGCTGCCGCAGCCTCCCTGCTTGTCCCCTGCCAGGCCCATCTTTCTACAAACCCCTGACTTTGTCATTTCCCTTTCTGCGCTAGGACTTGCATGCTGATCTTCCACATTGCTCTTCACTCCCAAGTCTAAACTGTCCAATCTGGCTTTTGGGGTTCTCTGCCAATTCACTGTTTCTTTTGGATAACTCATATTTCTTCCATTTATTCAACAAATATATATATCTAGTGGCTTCTGTGAATGCCAGGTACTATGCCAGGCTCTAAGGATATCACAGTGAACAGGACAGGGCGTGGCCCCTGCCCCCAAGAGGTTCATTCTAGTGGGAAGACTCACAAAGAAAACAAAACCAAAAGTACTGCGGAATAGGGGGAAGTGCTAAGAAGAAGGTAAGGGGTCTTTATGGCTGAGGGGAATTCTCATCACTGCTGCACCTGTGCCTTCCTCTGCTCTTCACCTAAAATCTTGCCCTCCTCCCACCCCCATATCCTCTCCAGATTACAGTGATCCTTCCCTTCCTCATTCACTCCTTCAGAAAACATTTATTGAGCTACTTTGTGCAGACGCTGAGCCAGATGTTGGGATACAACACAGAGTATAATAAAGTCACTAACTTCTCTGACTTAATGGTCCAGATGGAAAAGAGACCGCACAGACAACAGATAACGTGGTGAATGGGGGCCCTGAAAGAGAAGTGATAGTGTGCTTTGGGTAATTGAGAAAGATTTAATAAGCAGATTACCTCCAAAGAAGTAGGCAAGGTGTAGGGGACCCCAAGGGGTAGTGTAGTACCTGGGTGAGTGACAGGGAGAGGAGGGAGCAGTTACCAGAACCTGGAGAGAGGCCTATGTGAGAGTCCTGCCAGGAACTGAGGCCTTGGGTCCTTGAGGGGCCAAACAGCACACAGCAACCCTGCAGGGAGGAAGCCAACCCGGGAATTAACACCATGGCCTCACTCCCCTGCCTCCCACCTCTGGTATCCTGCCTGTTCTCTGCTGGAAGCCAGAGGGCACAGGCCTGCAGTACCTGGCCAGCCTCCCAGGGCAGTGTGCGGGGCGGAGAAGGCGGAAGTGTGTGGATCTCAAGGGGCAGATGCAAGAAGGAGCTAAATGCCAAAGGGGTTGCTATTTTAGAAAGGGTAGGGAGGGAAAGCTGTCTTTGAGCAGGAAACACAAGCACTTCCCTTGGGCGTGGCCTTGTAGTCAGGGAGATAAACAAACACAGGAACCCGTTTAACACCACTTACCAAAGGCAGAGGAACAACTTCAATAGAGGGTTGGACTTGAAGACTTAAGAGCAGAAGTCTGTGTTGAGATAGGAACAGGGAGGGGTTAGCAAGAGAAGCTTCTGGAAGAGGTGAGTAAGGGACAGGAGTGGGCCAATGTGGCCTGAGGGAAGGCTGGAGGGTTGGTGATCCAGCCTGAGAGGACTCGGGTGCCCAGAGGCCAGCCTTCCTCAAGGTCCCACCTGCCCCAGCATAGCTCCTGTGCCCCTTCTGTAATGTTTTCTCTTTTGACGCTAGTTTGGTGTCCACTGTAACCAGCCTTTTCCCTTGTAAACTTGGCCAAGGTCCCCTCCATGGCACTGACCCTCGGATCATCCCCTGGCTAGGCAGGTCTGGTTTGGGAGCAAGCCTGGTGCCTCCACCGAAAGAAGGTACAAGAGGAATGACCCAAGGCTTCTCAGTTGTTTGCCATCATGAAAGAGCCCTAGGGCCTCAAATTCTGTTTCTTTTGAACTTGCTTATGCATTTATATGTATGAATTTTCTTTAAGTACTGATAGTGGGCTTATCATTCTTCTGTTTTACTCCGGCTCATACTGAAACACGGTTTTTAATTCTCTGGACATCAAGTAGTGCAAGTGGGGGCAGCTGGCCTCAGGGTAGAGATTTCCTGCAGATTCTCTCACTCCTGGAAACAAATTCAAGGTCTTTTTCTACCTCGGAGCCAGTGGCTCACCCTCATCTCCATTTTATTACGAGCTTTTTTCCTTCCCTTCTTTACTAAAAAG